CGACGGGCCTGGAGGTTCGCAGTGGGCCAGTGGTGCTTTTATTTTGAGAGCACTTCGCCGCCTTTAAGAGCCATGGTGGCATCATCCTAAAATGCTTGGCTGCTAGCCAAAAGCTGGCATTTTGAACTGACCAGCCTCTCTGCAGGGGACAGATGTAGCAGTTTGAGGCCCTAAAGATTTACAGCCTTGGAGAGGCTAAGGGGCAGTTCTGCTGTCGGATAGTCGCTGTGAGTCAGAATGGGCAGGACGACATTTGGTGTAAGAATCCATGACCTAAATGTATGACCACTAGCGCCGCGCCTGGCGCACAGTAAGGGTTTGAGCAGCAGCGGATGAGCCTTTGAAGAATAACAAGGGGTCATTTGCATCAGCATAATTGGAAGTGACCATGCAAAATCAGCGATTCCATTTCATCCCTCGCATAAAGTACCGTGGCTCTAACAACCCAATAAATCAGAAGAGAGAACCGGAGAAGGACGATCCTGTCTGCAGAATGAAGCATTACTTTTTAAATCGATGGTACGTCTTCTTTTCATGAAAAAGAAAAATAAAGGAGATGAACTGAGCTCTCTTCTTCAACCTTCCACCGCTCCTTTGTCTTCCCAGAGCCACGCAGCCGAGGTGGGAGGCGTGAGGCGTGGGCAGAACAGCAGTCATCCCTGCAGCTGCGTGGCGTGACTCCTGGGGTGGCGTCATGTCTCAGCCCACACGGAACACGCTGCAGTGGTGCAGGAGTGGGCTTGACTTCGCACAGACAAACAGCCTCGGCCAGGAGGGGGTCTCCAGCTGACTCCTCCTCTCCCGAGTTGTTAATCATTCCGGAACATCTGCCTGGGTTCACGTCTCTATTTAATACACCAGGACTGAGGGCGGAAGGCTAGTGTGGGCCTCAGCCTCTGCTGGGAGCGGACGGCCTCCCCGTGACCAGCGCTGGGGCCTCTGAAGAGCTTGGCTGTGCCAGGAAAACCAGCATTCCCCCAGGGACACACGGTCCCAAACGGACCCAGGCATCTGAAGGGAATGGGTCTCTGGGAGTGGAAAACCTTTGGGGAAATGCAGGTGTCAGTCTTGGGGTTACAGCCAGGGAGGGGCACCTGTATGCAGGTTGGACGCTGAGTCATGGGAGGCACCCTGACATGAGGGCAGAGGAAGGAAAGGTAGCCAGGCAACTGTCGGAGAAAGTCACCTGCCTGGACACTCCTGATTGTGAGATTGTGATGCTGTGTGGCTTGTCTCAGTGGGCACACGCTGTCCTGTTCCCCTGGGAACCCCCAGTTTGCTCTTCTACATGCATTCCCCATCAGTGGTAGGGCTCCGGACAGCCTTGCAATCATTCCCTTTTTCTTAAGGCCACCACAATGGGGTTCTGCTCTCGGCGCCCCTGAAGCAGCTTTCCCCCAGGTAGCATTGTCTTCATGGACATTTGGGATCACTGGTGTAGGTGAGTTCATCTCCCCAGTCGGACTGCGGGCTTCCTGAAGGCTGGACAGCGGTGGACAGGAGAGGGCCTCAAAACGCTTGTGGACAAATGACCTCAAGGCAGTGGCTTTTCTCCAGGAACCGGTCCGTGTCTCATTGAGCCTCTAGGACCTGCCACAACAGCGGGCAGGTCAGAAACAGTTGGTGAATGCAAAATGAAGCTGGGTAGATTAACTAATGGTTTTTAAAATGAGAAGACTTGCCAGTAACCAAAATAAAAAGTTCGCATGGGTGTTTAAATACTGAGAAAGAGCTTAGTAGGACCATGTGCCTGCTGCACCTCTGCAGTGAGGGACTGTGTGTGTGCGCGGCTGCTATCAAAGGAACAGCGTTTTTCCATAACTCTCCTGAAGAAGTCCCCTGGGCGAAAAACTGTTCCCTATGGCATCCTCGCCCGATCTTATCTGTGCCCAGGATCTTCACCACCTTTCACAGAACGCCCTGAGAGGTGGGCAGGTCTAGATGCCCGTTCCCAGGAGACTTCACCTGCACTTTCCAACCCCCCAGGTGACCCAGGAAGCCCAGGAGGCAGACAGAGAACTTGGTTTCCAGACAGGTCGCTGTCTGCTTCCCGCCCCTCAGAAACACATGCCTCTGTGCCACAAACTCGCACTGCTCCTGGGGCTGAGACCCAGAATAAGTACTGAGGTGGGGGGGTTGGCCTAGTTATAACGACTTGCTTTTTCTTTTCTTGGTAGCAGATTTATGCTGCGAGGATGTCTGAGCTGCATCGAGTCTGAAACGGATCTGGTTCAAATAATGGTACCAGGTCCTAAAAACCTAAGCACTATACACTTTGCAAATGCAATGCCATCAAGGTTTTATGACCTTTCCTACAAAAACTCGAGTCAGGCAGCACTCCATCCGCTGGAGTCTGAACTTGGGTATGAGGATAGAAGCTGCATCTGTGGCGTGCAAGTGGGGTTGCTCTTCTGATTTGGGGATCACAGTAAAAAAAGAGAGACAATCCACCTAACGGTGTTCATGCATGCACATTTTTGCCTCCTAAAAACAAAGACAAACACACAAAAAGCGACTCCTGATGCCTCATAGGGCAAAAATCAACTCTCACCGATCTCTGAATTTCTGCAAAAACATAGTAAGACAAGTGCTGCCACCAAAGGCCGTCCGTGTAGGCAGCTGCACTTCCTTCTTCAAGTTAACAAAACGCATAGACCGTCTCTCTGGTTCACGTCTGCTGGCTAGGGAGGGGACCTGTTCCTGTGGCTGCCACTAAACTTCCTACACCCAGGCCTCTCAGGGTGGAGCTGACGGATACAAGGAGTGCGAGCCCAGCTTCACCAGGTGGAACGTGCTAAGAAGAGAGCGTTCCAGGCTCTACTGGCATCAGCGCACAAGTGGCTGCCAGAGGGCCTATGAGAAAGAAATACTGTGTAATACCGCACCTGTGACATTGCCATGGCTCTATTGTCCTTCCTAATCCACAGCTAGGCTCCTCCCACTCAGCCGATCATGCTGCTAGTGTCCCCAGGCCCAAAGTCAACGCTTCCACGCCTTTCTGTACGATTCCTAATTCTGTGTCTTGTTCCAACACGGATGCATCATTTTGGGGGGTGGGGGTGGGGGTGGACGATTTTCTTTTCACATAGAAGGTATTTCCTCTCTATGAGAATTGGTCGATACATAGGTAAAAAAAAAAAAAGCTTCAGCCTAAACCACCTGACCAAATATGAGTGATATATTTCCAAACCTATTATCTGTGTGATTTAAACAAATATGGTCGCGATTGTGTTGCCAGAAGGTGCCATAACTCACACTGAATTCATCTAAAACTTTGAAACGGGCCCCCAAATCGCATTGCTAGCGGGTCTGCCTGTGGAGGGAAGCTTGAAATGTCACGAACTATCCGCATCTGCAAAAGTGGTCATCAGCGCTCAAACACTGCTGATGGAATGGGAAAGTGGTCCAGGGACAGTGGAAAAGGGTGTGGGGCTACCTCAAATAGCTGAGCAGAGAAAGACCACACAACCCAGCAATGAGACTACTTATCACACGTGCATGCGCACACACCTGAGTGACAGGAAGAAAGTAATTGGGGAAACACGGACCACCCACGGGACGGGCAAGGTTAGAGAAGAACGCGTCTGCAGCACACCTCAGGTGGGCGAGCCGGGAGGACCGTGTGTGGAGTGAAATTAGTCCACCGCAGAAGACAAACCCATAAGTATTGCAGGAGATGACTACTGGGAAAAAGTCAAGAAAAGGTGTTCACACGAAAAGAAACATTCTTTGGTGGGTATCAGGTGGGTGGAGAAGGGACTGGAAGTCATTGGCTAGAGGGCAGACGGGTGTTAACTTGGGTACAGGGGAAGACAACCTGCAGTTAAAGGGGAGTTGTCCTAAGAGATGATGGGGGCAGGGGAAGCAACCGTGAGGAATACAATAGGGCAAAAGAGGTAAATACTGATACATACACAATCCTCCAATAACAATGCTCCGAGCAGAGACACCAATAGACACACATGCTGAATGGGCATGAGAAAGACAGTGGGTTTACACCTATGAGTAGAGGGATAGAAGATAGATTATATAGATAGACAGATGATAGACAAATACATGAGAGATAGATATGTTTGGGACAGGGCATTTGTACGTGGATATTTACTTTGTAACAAATATATTCAGGAGGGTAATTTTGTGATTAAATTCAGGACAAGTGTGCTTCAAGGTTGTAACCTTTTACCATAATTATTCAAATTAGCTGCTGAGCAAACGGTTTGAGAAGTTGGACTATATGCAGTACAATGTGGCATTAGGATCAGAGGACGACCCCTTAACAATTAGAGATTTACAAATGATGCAATGTTGCTTGCTGGACACTAAGAAGATTTGAATTTCTTATCGATGAAAATTAAACGCCATTGCCTTCAGTGTGATTTACACATCAACATAAAGAAAACAAAACCTTTACAGCTGGACCAATAAGCAAGTATGATAAGCAGAGAAAAGACTGATGTTGCCAAGGATTTAAATTTTACTCAGATACACACACACACACACACACACACACACACACACACATGCACAGGGAAATCTCTTTCAAATGCTAAAAAGCAAAGGCGTGGCCTCAAAGAGGAAGGTACATCAAACCACGGTATTTTCAATTCCCTCAGATCCGTGTGAAAATTGGACAATGACAAGGGAGGAAAGACTGGGAAAGAATTGGTGCCTTGGAAGGAAGATGCTGGTGAAGAATATGAAATATACCAGGCGGTCCACAAATGGAAAATTCATCAGGCCACGTTAAAAATCACATGATATGAATATCAGTGCATTAAAAGTTTGTACTTTCTATTCTAAAGTTCTAAAAAAATAATGTACCATTTCCCACACGCTCAGAAAGATTCTTGGGAAATGACAAGGCACAGGCGAAGGTCCTGTGGGCTTTACGCGGCCCACACCTCAAAGGCTGGCTCTGGTTGGAGGAGGCAGCTCTCGGTCGTGTTTGAATGACTTCCAGTGGACAACTTGCCCCTGAAGGGCTGATGCGCGCCACTCACCTTCTTCTGAAGCACGTTGATCTTTCTTTCCTTGACTTCCAGCATGTCCTTCATGTCGCGGATCTCTCCGGCCAGGGTCCCTTTCTCTTCCGTGAGGTCTTGCAGCTGCTTTGTTTTCTTATTGAGAAAAGATTCTTTCTCTTCCAAACGCAGTCTCAAGGCATCCACCTGAAATCAGGAAAAGGCGGGGTGGTCTTACACAAAGGCTGCCAATAATGGAAAGTCGCATCCTGAGGATGGGGTCGGAGGGATTATCTTAGGAGAGGTGAGAAGACACTGGTTTGATAAAGCATGATTCACCACAAAGCAACCCTGCACCATAAGGGGTCTGTGTTCATGGCCCACATCATCTTCGAGTCCGGTTATCTGTGTGTGTGAACGGTGACACTGTTCAGAAGTGGCTAACACATATTTCAAATGTCTTGTGATTGGACGTCACCCTCTTGAAGCTGGTTATATGTTCATAGAGATATGAATCCAGGGTTGACGGGCCTATGCAGGCAGTGGGTAGAAAAGGGTTTGGGGGGACATAGTGGTGGAGGGGGTGGTGAAGGGAGGGGAGAGGCTGTCAAGGTGTCCACGTAGAGAAAGACTGTTTGGAAACTGGCTGTGACAGAGTTCGACACTGTCCTATCGGGTTGGATGGAAGCATTATGTTTTGTTTTTTTTTTTAATTTATGATGCATGCAAAAGATGGAAAGTGAAAACAAATGCTTTAAAAAGAATCAATGGCTTTGAATTAAATTGTTAGTAATGGGGGGAGATTGGGAAAATGGAGACCCAGCAATGATGAGTACAAGAAGGGAGATATGTCCTAAAATTGATTTTGGTGGCAGCAGTACAACTCTTCTTGATATGACTGAACTACTGAATTGTAGAGCTTGTGAACTAGATGCCAATAACACTGTTTATAATCAAAGAAAGAATGAACGTATGTCAATATGAAATAAAACATTCCAGTACAGTCGTTTGAAGGCATGGATAGTGAACATCATCAATAAGCTTGGTTGCTTATTGAGAGGACAAAGGTTTGAGTCTGTGCAGAGGAACCTCTGAACACAGGCGTGGTGATCCACTTCCGAAAACCCAGACATGGAGAGACCTGTGCCGACTGGGTTGGGTATCTTTTCTTTACTTTGAGCACAGCGGGCCTCTGTTTCTTTGCTGTGAACTCCATGCTGGGGCCAAAGCCCTCTGGTGTTCTGTGTCCTTGAGGAGAGAGCTATTCCGGTGCCACAGCCTCCTCTGAGAATGTGGGCCGTAAACATGCGGTGGACCCCTGGAAGTCTGAGACTGACATGATGAGAAATGTGTGTTGCCAAGAGGAGGTAAATGCTCCTGGGGGGGGAGGTGGAAACAACATTTATTCTCCAGCTTTATGAAGCACTGCTTTCTAAATACTACTACTAACGATCAGAAAGCTGAAGAACACACACAAGAATTTATACCTGAGAGCCCACACGGGAACACAGCATGCCTTCCTTTCAAATGTAAATAAAAAGAAAACATGAGCTTTATTTTAAAATTTCTGTCTACGTGCAACAAAATAATTAAAGCTCTATTTCTAGACTACTCTCACTATATCATAAGGGAAAAAACACTAGCACGGGATAAAAATTAGACAATCCAAAGAATAAAAACTGACAAAGATCATTTTAAGGTGAATCTAAATTTTCTTCTAGAATTCTACTTTATTGATTTACATGAATCCTATTTCCATCTCATATTCCTAAACGCCCACCAAGCCAGTCTAAAACCCAACAAAAACAATTGTAGCACACAGTTTGTTTGAAGGGTTACTGTCCGTAATGAACTGTAATAACAGGCTGTGAGATTTCTAAGGCATTGATCTAAGGTGAACAGCAATATTCAATAACACCTTCTTAAGACAGTTTCTTTTCCCTGGATGTACAAAATCTTAGTATTCTGCTTGACACAATGGATGTATGTATGGATTGGGAAAAGAGTTGAATGAGTCCCTAATAAAATGATTTTAAAAATCTTAGTACTCTTTTCCAGAATTATTATGCTGCATTTTCAGCATACCACTTGCTCTGTTTTTCTTTGGGTCATTAGAAATAACTTCTGTGTAAATAATGTGAAGGTCAGAGTTACATGGATCTATGCGCCCCAGGCATTACATCCTGAAGGATTTCTCTACGTCATTCTAGGAGCACATATAACCCCATGGTCGGTCCCCTGATGTCAGGAAGGAATATATTATGTGCTGGAACATATCAACATTGAATTTATATATCCAGAGAATCCAAAACTACCTCCCCGACCACATTTACAGAAAAGTTTCTACCGGCATGGTGTTCGTCAGCTCAAATGGAAAACGTCACTAATGACAGGTGATGTCGGCTGAAACAGTATTAAGCCATGAAAAGGAATGAACTGCGCAGCCATGCGGCATGGCTGCATCTCAGCAACAGGCTGAGGGAAAGACGGCGGAAGACTCACTTTAAGATTCTATGTCTGTGACGCGCTAGAAGCAGCCATGCCGACCGCTGGTGAAGACAGTCCGAGCTGCTGTGGCTGGGCGGGCTCGGCGGTGCACAGAGCTGGCTGCACAGTCACGGGGCCTTATTGCTGCTGTTCTTCCGTGGGACGGCGAGAATGGTGACGCAGGCGGTGAGGTTCGTCAAAACTCACAGATGGTTAGGATTTATACAGCAATAAAGTTGAAAACCATATTCACATACAACTAAAGACGAACTCACATCGATGGTCACTTCTGTCGTTAAGGAGACCAGAAGGAAGAGGAACACAGCCAGGCACCCAAGTGCCACCCACCTCTGTGGGGACAAGGAAAAGGAAGGGGGCGAGAAGCCTGGGCCGGGGCGGTGGGCGCCACGACGGGTAGATTTCACCTCTATCGTCCCTGGTAGGCACCCGCAGAGGGCAGCCACGGCCAGTCAGGATGTACAACGCGAGCTGCACACGCAAACCAGCAAACCAGCTGGTGCAAACCAGCTGCACACGCAAACCAGCAAACACGCAAACTGTCTAGCCAACTCCGGCTCACGGAGCCCGTGGGTGCAGCAAGGGGGAGAGAGCCGCGCCCCACAGGGTGCGCGCGGCTGCTTTTCTGAAAGCAGGTCTGCAGGCTCCTCTTCTGCGGTGCTCCGGGTGAGTGACCCTCCGAAGGTTGAGCTGGCAGCTGAGGGCAGCACTGACATGGCCCGGGGACTCCCCTCGGTTCGTGCCAGTGTGAATAAACCAGGCAGAAAAAGCCAAACGGACTCGCTCCTGCTGGGGAAGAACATGCAGTGATGGGGCCGAGTGGGCAAGGGACTGCTGAAGCTCCCCCTTGCTGACCCTCTTGCTTCTTCATACCAAGGGCAGGGGACATCTGTAGAGAAGCAAGGCTCACGCCATTGCAGGAAGACGCGGGACTATCATACAACGGGCAAACGACCTAGGTCCAGACTGTGGGTCAGAGCCAGAGGCCACGGCAACAATGGAAAGGGACATCTAGGCTGAGAACCAAGGCAAGTAACTCTCTCTCTGTCACACACACACACACACACACACACTCACACAAACTCACATATACACTCACACACACACACACACTCACACACATACAAACTCACATACACACTCACACTCACACATACACACCCACACAGAGAGACACACACATACACACACTCACACACATACACACAGAGAGAGACACACACTCACACAGAGACACACACACTAACACCCTCACACACATACACACTCTCTCACACACACTCACATACACACTCACACACACACACACACACACCCGCAAGCCAGCCTCACTTTCTCCAACTATAAAGGTGACTGGGACAATCTTGAGGTAGCTGCCATGTTGACGGCTGGGATTGATCCTTGGTGGCCTGTCTCAGGGAAGACTATGACATTAGAGCTACAGGGGCCATGGGAAAGAGGAGACGAGATGCAGAGGAGAATTCCCTCCCCTCCCCCTTTCAAAGAGAATGCCACCTCCGCATTTCTAATGGTCAAACAGTGACTGGGGTGTGGGGCAGTTAGGGAGGCAGCCACACAAGGAGGCCCCAGCAGTGACGGAGGTGATGGCAAGGACTGACTCCCAGGGGCAGGGAGGCCCTAGCTGCTTGTAGCGAAAGGGTGGGTGTCAACGACTGGGGGGTGGGAGTGGCAGGATCTTCATGTCTGAGGGCACTGCCCGTCTCACAGGTGGCCATAGAGACACGGGCCGATGAAGGAAGGGAAGAGCCCTTCCCTCGGGGCCCTCGCTCCCCTAAAGGAAGCTGGGTGCAAACCTGCTTCAGCATCCCAGATGCCCAAGTGCCTTATCTTTGGGTTTTGTTCTCTTCCTGCACCAACCCGGAATGATGGAAGTCCTTGGACTGGGCTCTTCACAGTTCTTGGTGAGAAAATACATTTGGTTTAAGCATAAAGGATGACATTTGCCGAGTGACCTAGAATTTGATATGTTGGAAGCTCCAAATTATAACCATGGTTACAAGAGTTTAGGACCTCTGCATTGGGCAGCTAGTGAGAGGGGTGGACGTCTGAATGGGCCAGCCTCCCCCAGGGAGATTTCTGTGGTCTTACATGCCTGGAAACCCGACGAAACACTTCTACGCCGTCCCCGGGGGTTGCTATGCGTCACAATCCACTGGACACCAGTGGGGTCTTTTGCTTTTGTAAGGGATTCAGTTCAATTAGAGGTCAGCACAGTGACTGGCCAGACCTCAGGGTACACCAGAGAATGACAATGGCCCATCAACCTCACGTTCTAGCTCTCGAAGCTGGGTGGTCTACAGCTGACCTAAAGGGATCCAATAACCGAAATGGTGACATAAGTAAATTACAGCGTAGGATGTGAGGGGCGTCTTGGCGAGAGTGTAGAGAAAGGCCGTCTGCGATAGTGAAGAATGCGTCCAACAGCCGTAATCCTTCCTCCGTGCGGATCCAGCCTCTTGCGGGGCTTAGAGATGAAAGAGCAGCCCGACGAGAGAATAGTTCTCTGGGAAGGGAAGCAGAGGCCAAGAACGGTTGTGTTCAGCTCACCCTGCAGGAACCCAGCTCAACGTGGCAGGAAGGAGTCTGTGTCTGCCAAGGTCTTCGCGTGGGAGCTCACTGTCCCTATGCCCAGGGGCATGGACATCACTTCAAAGACTGAAGTGTGCCCTCAGCCACCTTCG